TAGATGTTTTTGTTTTGAGTGTACAGTTTAGAGGGTCCAGTGCTTCCTTAGGGCCAACATCCTCCTGCTGTTTCTGAAACAGAAAACAATGCAATAGTCCATTAAACACACATGCACACAGACACACACGCATCAAGGAGTAAATTGTGTGTTTTCTGATGACTGCTGCCACTCGAGAACAACAGATATATTTGTTTTGTGTCGTGCTGCGCTCAAGTTCTGCCAAGCTCACTACGCGATAGGAAGTGAGTGATTTCAGGTCTTTATCTGAAAGCCCCGACTCGGAGAAACAAAAGTGCTGAAAGAAGGGAAAAAGGTTTGAGAGGTGTTTGCAAGAAGCGGGCATTAGGTTACTCTAGTGTCCAGTAAATTGTGGTTGGGCTATTGTATTAGTTAATTTGGCTGAGTGGGAAATTAAATGAGGCACAGTTGCTTTGTATTGTGTGGTAGGGTAGGCTGTAAAATGAGCTTGCTAGCCAAGAATACAGAATCACTGAGGTGCACAAATCTCTTGTTTGCTCTTCAACCTCTTTATCATACCCCTACTGTCCAGGGATTGTGGGTGCATACCAATCTTTTGTTCGGTTCCTCACCCATTTAACACTTTCTTTCATTTCCCTTTGTTCTGTAGAGGGCCTACTTCGGTGGGGCCCCATAAACACACACATGCACATTCACTTGGGGGCCCACATCACATCAAAGTCAGGAATGTGGGGCTTGCAGCCATTATGTATGAATGCATGGACCTAGTTATGCCAAGTTTACCCTTCTTTAGATGTGGTGTCTGTGGCGGTGTGGTTTGTGTGCTGCTTCATGCTATTAGTGAGCCAAGCTTTATGTTCACTCACTTCTCCGAATCTGCTCTGAAATGTCAAAGCCATTATCCAGAGTCCGTGGTCTTGCTGAAGTGTTACAACTCTCAGACAGACCTGGGAACACCTGGACCAGTCTGTTTAGTTCCACTCCTTGTGATGCTAATTACAGTCTTGAGGCATTTGATGTCCTTTTTTGCCTTCTTTTTAAGTGATTTCCCTCTCACTTGTAGTCAGACTTAATACTTAAAGCGACAGTTTAAGACAGATGCTTATATGAAAATTTGTGCCTCTTCTCCTCCACCCATCTTTACTCCCCTGTTTCCTGCAGCCTTTCTGAGTCTCTTTCTGCATTTTATTCTGTACACAATAGAAGGCATCTTATGGTGTCTGCCTCTTTCTGAATCTTTACATCTCTTATGTACACTAGCTTCATCAGTTGTCACTTGAGCCAATGACAGGCATCATTCTCACTGACGTGCTACTGTCTTATCATCCAGCTTCTTTACCCTCATACCCCCACCTTCCTTATCACCAGCTAGCTATCCCATGTATCTATCAGAGCAAACCAGGCCTGCCTGGCACAGATAAACCCAGCATTAGGGGCTTTTGGATGGATTGGCAGGTTGAGAGAGATGTTAATGATCATAGAACAGGAAAAAAATGGATATTAGATGTTGCAGGATGATGAGATAGGTGGTTGTTTGGAATGTTTCAGTATGGAGCTGGTAAATTGTTGGTTTATTTGGTTACAATCTCATCTTCTGATACAGGGATTATGCATGGTTTTTGAATATCAAGCGACACGTTGCCAGAGGGAGAAGTATCAGTGTTGTAAAAATAGTTTTTGGGGAAGGTTAGAAATTTATGGATACACTAGACGTTTAAGTTGTCTCTTATTTAATGTTTTAAATATTAGAATTCAGATTTGTTTTCTGTGTTGTAAAACCACTGTTTTCCTTTTTTTTTTTTTCTTCCTCATGGAACAGATGTAGTAAAAACATCTTCTCTTCACTTCTATGTATTCTCAGTTATTTTAGCTGACAAAACATTATCACTACAGGAAGGAATGCCTATTTTGGTCATGGAGGTACTCTGAATAGCACTTAAGAAAGTTATGAAATGTCAGGTTATAGACTGTTTACGTCAGAACCACAGAAAGACAAAGACTAAGGTTCATTTCCAGCAGCGTTTGTGCCGCATCATTTCCTCTCTCTACTGTCTCCTCTTACTGCTTTCCCTCACCGTTGCTTAAGACAGTGCCTTTAATGTGTTTAAAGTCTATTAACGTTACATTATACATGTAGAGAGTAGAGATGGGGCTTGTTTTGAAAATACAAGCACAGCATCATTCTGTAGATTCATCCATCAAGGACTTAATGGTAAGCTAAGCAATACAGAGGACACAATCAGACAGCAACAGCTTCCCGCTTGATTACTGACAATTGCATTGATTTCTTGACTTAGCTTATAGGCACACACAAAGAGCTGTGCATGCAAGCTGATGCAAACATAAATCTGTGATTTTTATATATGTGTGAGAAAACATCTCTACATGTTATCACTCTACAAATGCTTGTAGATCAATTGAAAATCAAGCCGTATGCACGCTGGCGTTGAGCTTGGACACCCACACAGGAATCTTCACACGTATTTGTACACACTTAGCCCTTGTATTAGCTTTAAACCCTTCTAAATGCACAGACCCTGCCATGTTAACCTTGTTATTAGAGCGTAACCTCGAATTCCAGACATAGCAGCTCAGTTTGATTGAATTAGATCTTCTTTAAGTATCCCATCCATCTATCCATTCCTCCATCCATCTGTTCAGCTTATATATTCCATAGTCTTTTGTTCTCTTCCTGTAACTCTGGGCAGCCTCGCACTCTGCACTTGTGGAATGAATTGATTTGAAATGATTTATTACCTTTTTTCTTTTTTTTCCTCTCTCCCCCCGCAGGTCACCCACTCTCACTCACCCACTCTTCTGCTTTCTATCTTTCTCACCGTTGTTTCTCTCTGCACACTACTTTTTTTTTTTTTAATGTTAGCACTGTAGATGAACTGCATCCTGAGAGGGGGAAAACCTGAGCAGAACAAAGATGAGGGGGGAAAAGGTGTTATTTGTCAGATTCAATGTTTCAGTCCCTGTTTCTAAGCTGATATTAAAACCAGCAAAGAGACTGGTTTTTAACTTGGGGATTTTGCAGGCTGGATTTTGCACAGACTGACAAGCAGATGGATGCAAACAGAAGATAGGAAGGCTGTCAGAAAGACAGACGTACATTCTCTGTGGTATATTGCATTTGTGTGTGCAAAACCAGTGTAGGCTCAGACTGGTCATTAGCCAGTGAACTGGACTTGGGTGCCGGATCCAGAGATAGATATGGCTGCCAATGGAAATGTCTCATTTTTTTTAAGGGAGTGGGAAAAAATGATACATAGAGGGCACAGAACAAAAGCTATTCTTTCACCTCTGTGTGCATCAGCAGCTGTTTTTCTTTATTCTGGTTGTCTGCACTTAAAAATTGTGTTGCCTTATGTGCTGGTATGTGTGTTTGTGTGCGTGTGCAAACTCGTCTAGATGCGAACCATCCGTGAATGAAATGTATCCTTTGTTTACGGGCCTATTATCTAGATAATAACATCCATATTTCCTCTCATCTCCAGAGCTTTATCACAGCCTTATGAGCTCTTTCTTTCACTCTATCTCACTATCTCTCTCTCTCCCCTTCTCTTTGGCACACACACTCATACACACATGCGTACACGCACACAGCAGAGAGCGATAATGGGATTGTTGCCCTTGGTTTCTTTTGGCAAAACTGTAAATAATTTTTTTTTCATCACAAAGTGTGTTCATTGTTCACCCACATGTTTCTTTTTCCTGTGTGTGTGCATATATATATATCTCAATCAAACTAGTGCTTGCATATCTATCACTTGGTGTGTGGGTTGTCATCTTATCATTCTTTCATCTATCTGGATGTGAACCTATTTGTCAGTGTGTGAATTTAGTATCATTTTCCAGCTAGTCATTGCCTGCTGTCCTTCCCTTGTCACTGTGGGCTGATAGCAGTGCGAGTCGACAAAGCTCGGTAATGGAGAGCTGATACTTGCCCTCCCCCCCGCTGCTTTGTACTTTTCATTTGCTGCTGAGATGACTTTGGCTCACAGCCACGCCAGCAAGCCAATCTCCTATCTTGTATCTGCTCCATTACTTTCCATATCTTGGCAAATTATTTGCCAAAACTCACAAAGAAAAATTTGAGCATCCGTTCACATGCATGTTTGTGCACATGCTGACTTGGTTGCTCTGTATTATATTTGTCTACAGGTGCTTTGGGTGATCAGGTTGTTGTTCACATGCAGAGATGTGACTCACTGTTATGCTTTCTATCATTATACAGGACCACACTGTTTTCATACTTAACTTTTTTTATTTTTTGCTCATAATTTTTAAAGTTTATTCCTCCCAGGTGCTGAACAAAAGATGTCTATAGTCATGATAACAGCACCATCCTGTCAATATTGTTCCCTTCCATGCATCTACCTCTGTAATCACATCTGTGTTCGCAATAATTATACGAGACTCAATACTGCTATTAACACAACCTTTCAATTAAGCCTTTTACATAGCTCTGTAGAACAGGTGCTCTCAACCTTTTTCCAAAATTTTGATAATTTCATGCCTCCCACCTTATAATAACTACCACCTGTTACTGTTGAAGTGAAATCAGCTTATTTCACCAGCTGGAACAACATCCATAGACACTTTAGTGTGTTTGAACTTTGGTTTGTAGAAAAAAGTGCAGCTTGAGTGTACTTTATTTATTTATTTATTTATTTATTTATTTATTTAGCATGGATATTTAAAGGGAGATGTGAAAATGAAGATAAATTTGTCACCATTTTATTTCCTTTATTTGTGCGGCAAATCTAGAGGAATTAAGCGTGTGTTTATTTTTATTGTGCATCAATGGTCCACTTGGATTAACGCTGCATCATTTCTCTACAAGCAACAAGTTATTTTTATTTAGCTTCAAGGGTTTCTACTGTAAAAGCACGGGGTTTTTTAAGCAGCTGCTGTCTGATATTATTGCTGTATTCATGTACATCACTTTTCTGCATCATCTTTTTATTGTTTTCATATCCAAATGAGTTTTCCCGTGTGTTTCTTTTTTGCAGATCTTGGTTAACTCCATAAACGCCAGCCGTCCAGCAGTGCTATACGAGAAGGTGACCGTAAGTGAAGGAGGAAGTCCCTTACTGAGAGACATGCTGTTCAGCCCAGACCAGCAGTACATCTACACTTTGACTGACAGACAGGTGAGTTCATGTCCAACAAATACACTAGGACACACATTCAGTCCCAGCAGACATGTTGCCATTGCAATACTTTTTCGACATAGTGTCTGCTGGGACAACATACTTTTTAAAACTCTTACTTGTGATACATGTAAGAGTTTTTAGGATTCAAATTCTCCATATCCAGCACCTGACTATTCAGTATTTGCCAAAGGTACATACTCATAAATACTAACATTTATTTTTGTTGTGTTGCATGTTTGAATAGTTCCTGTAGAGCAGCCTGTTACTAAATGTCCAGAACACACTTCCCTTGTGCATTTTTTGACATTCCTACCAACTCTACACTCATTCTCTGTACTCACACAAATCATCCCCACTGGATTTCATTGCACACCAACACACATTCACACCAGCTACAAACATCGCCACCATGATGGCTTGCTAATAAGTAGAGATGGACCGATCCGATATTACGTATCGGTATCGGTCCGATACTGACCTAAATTACTGGATCGGATATCGGAGAAAAATAAAAAATGTAATCCGATCCATTAAATATCACGAAAGCACCTCACAAAACTTGCAACACGCCGTAACTCACCTCAGAACGTTAGCACGTCTGAGCAGTATGCATCACGTGATAGAGCGGCTGTGGCATGCGGGACCTGTCGGTGGTCTGGATAGCATTTGGAGCTTCGCTAGCAACCCGGCATTTCATCTCCGACAAAGTTATCCCCGAGAGAAGTAAAGCAAGTGTGTAAGTCCATCTCTGAATGTTTGTAAAGCATTCCTGCGTTAAGCTTAACAAACGATATATGGAGCGACTGCCTCTTCTTGCTGCTACTTCAATCATGAAACTGCTTAACGATCAGCTGATCAGCTTTTCTGTCGTGAGTCCGTGTCTCTAGTTTGCTTTTGGCCCACTTTGCACCAGAAAGAGGAAACCAGCGGCTGAACAACAGAAGCACGTTTAAGCTTGATCAGCTGTTGTTAGAATGTATTTAATATTACTTTCTACACCAGGATCTTTTTCTACGTAGCTGACGCTGGTAACTGTGCAGGGGCGGATCTAGCAAAGTTTAGCCAGGGGGGCCGATAGGGCATTAACAGGGAAAAGGGGGCACAAAGACATACTTTTCTTTCTTATTCTCATTTAAAATGTCAAGCTTTTAATAAATAATTATCTGACACCCAAAGTTTTAATTTGATGCAAAATGAATAGAAGTCCATTACTGTATATAGTAACTATTAAGTCTAATATATATACCCTAGTAAGCTATAGTACTTTTTCCTTTGGGAAGGTACCATCTGTGCAGTCTGCAATTTTGTTGAAGAAAGATGTTGAATCTATTTAATATTTCTTGAAAAATAATTGATTTCTGTGCATTTTTTTTCACACTGCATCAAATTAAGGTTGATTACGTCGATTAAGCATCATGAGGTGGAGCGTGAGGGGTGGTTCCCTATTTTTTATTTATTTATTTTTGTTGTTGCTGGGAGTTGGAACCCTATTAGTTAGGTTGCTTAATATTTATGCTAAGTACTCTTTAAAATACCAGAATAGGGAGGATGGTGTAGGTTTAAGTTTATTAGATTGATCAGTATTGCTGAACTATGAAACATTTTTTTTTGCATACAGGTATAACAGAATAGCTTTAGTGTAGTTGTTGTTTTAAACTTGAGTATGAACTTATACAAAATGCAGCAAGATATTTAAAAAACAGTTTTGTTGATTAAAAAACACTATATCGGATTCATATCGGTATCGGCAGATATCCAAATTTATGATATCGGTATCGGTATCGGACATAAAAAAGTGGTATCGTGCCATCTCTACTAATAAGCCAGACATTACATACATGGGGAGTGCAGGGAGAGTTATAGGTCAGATGGTGTGTGTGTGTGTGTGTGTGTGTGTGTGTGTGTGTGTGTGTGTGTGTGTGCGCGCGCGCGCGCACTCTTCTTCTGGTGAAGGCTTTCTCTAGTGTGATGGTGAGGAGAGGAAGGGGTTGGGGGGATTGGGGAGGAGGCAGAGAGAGCATGTCGCATCTCTGCTGCTCCCCATTTCCAGCTGCTCCCTGGTTGTTGTTTTTTTTTTTTTTTTTTCTGTCTCATTAGTGTGGTGAGTGAAGGAAGCAAAACGAGAGGGAGGGGGAAAGAAAAAAAGGGGTTGTACATGATGGGAATATGTCTGTATTTAATAGACCTAAAATAGGCTGTCGAATTGAAAATGGGTGAGATGTATCTGAGGTCTGCTCTGTGAGAGGCTTTTTCAGAGGTGCTGATTCTGTAGGTGGCTTAAATCAAAGTCAGGCCATAAAATGGAAACATTCTTTGCCTGTTTGACACCCAGTGGGATCATCAATGGTCACTGTATAACCACTGCCATGGCTGGGGCTTGGTAGATAAATTTTTTTAAATGCAGATTGTGCTATGAGTGTAACAGTATGTTATATCACAGCCCTGTGTGTCCTGGCTGAAGATACCTCTGTTCAAGCCAGATGACCTTTTGATGACATATGTGAGGCTCCATCTGCACACACACACCCCATCATCACAATCATCCATCAGTTCGATAGCTGCTCGTCACCAAACCCAGCTGCACGCTGGGGCAAGATACAACACCAAGTTCGTCTACTTCAGGAAACTTAACTTATAGTCAAAGAAGTTCATTCCCATTAAATTGATTCACTCAGTGCAACACATACAGTATGGACATGTATACACACCTTGCACCCTATAGGAACATACCTATAGGGTTTCTGATTATAATCCTGACCATAGGAGCACAGAAGAAAGGAACATGAGCTGTGGGATGTGCTGCTCTTTTTAATGGTAACACACATATATTTTGAGGGGACACTTATTTTCAAGTTTTGGGTTAAGCACATGATTGGGGAAAGAAGTAACATAGTAGAAAACGCACACCAATGCACACACATACTAGAAGAACAAAGCACATGTCTAAGCAGCTAAGGGCATGAAGGGCACACACACAAAACCATAATGTTACTTATAGGCGCTAGTACCCAGAACATATGCTCGATTACACACACTTTATGTACACACACAGTCTTGTAAACAAGTGTGTGTGTGTGTGTGTGTGTGCACGCATACACACAGAGAGCTTCATCTCCCTGTGCGTTTGATCCCCATTAATGGATAGCAGGCCTGGGTTAAGCAGAATGGGGGGGCTGTGGCTTCCAGACCTTATAGCTAAAACCCCTATCCAGCGCTAATGACTGGAGGGGGCAATTGCCTTCTCTCACCCTCCATCCTACCCTCATCTTTATCCTCTGCCCTCCATCTATCCCACCATGCCCCCACCACTACATTTTTTCTTTAAATCTTCACTTTTGCTGCCCCACACACACACACACACACACACACACACACACACACACACACACACACACACACACACACACACACACACACACACACACTCTGATATTTCCATCTAAGCCCAAATTGAGTCCTCCCCTCTCAAATGCCTTCTACTGATCCCATTCCCGTATTTTTAATGATCTCCCCCTATCGCTGCCATGGCCCCCCTCTCCACCAGATAGACACGCTCATACTCTCTCGTTCTTAAAGAGGCAAAGGTGGAAAATTGTGGGATAGATACATGGAGTGGTGGGTAGGAGGGCCTGCTTTTGCTAAAAGATGCTGATACACTCACGCACACACATTAACACACAACTAGTTTGCATGAGGAATATAGCCATGCCCCCTTTTTTCTAGTGAGATAGACACACAGCCCTGCCTTCACCCTGGGAGTGTGTGTGTGTGTGGTTGTGTGGCTGGGTGCCTGCGGGGGTTCCTCAGACAAGCCAAGCACATTAAGGTGTCACTGGACATATCCACTGATGCGTGGACCACAAGTTCCACCACCCTTCTGCCCTCACCCACTCACATACACACAAATGGAGGCTAAGGCGGTGAGTCACAGTTAGGGGTGAGGCCCAGTGATTTATGACTTGCTCTGTTCCAGCTATATTCATCACTGTCATTATTATCAATGGAGGATATGACAGCGGGATAGGACGGCCTGCTGTGTGTGTGTGTTTGATGAGACAGTGTGTTATTGCAGGAAATTTAGATCAGCTTATTTCTCACTGCAGTCAGAGTTGTATGATTCTTATGGACTTGGTGCTAGGGCTGCCACAAACGATTATTTTGATAGTCGACTAGTCACCGATTATTTTTGCGATTAGTCGACTAATCAGATCATCATCCATTGGACGTACAGCGTACAGCTTATTGCACCAGCAGCATCTGGTCTTATATAACTATCATTAGCTTACAGCTTGAAGTGTTTGTGCTAACTAAAAATAAAGACAAGATGGTAGTTTATTAATTTTTAATGAAATTTGCAGATTGTTTCGGTGAAGTTTAATAAACTCCTTGCTTTCTAAAATATAACAGGACACCGGAGTATATTCTCCAGCGTCTCACACTTCTGATAATCAGCTGTCTGCTTGACAGTTTTAGCTGTGCAAAAACTATAACTTTAATCTCAGCCAAACCGATTTACTCAGGAACAAATAAAATACTAAAGAAAGCCAAACAATAACATTTTTAAGTTATCTAAGTGACTTATATATATGTTTAACCTGACTAGCGAAAGACGGCGGTGGGTTTGAAAACGATTTGCCGGGAGTCCGGTGTTCTCACGGCGCTAGTGACCTAGCCCCCGGCTAGCTATCGAGCTAGTGGGTAACAGATGTCTCCGAAAACGTCGGAGCGCTTTTGAAAATATGTGGTGTCTTGATAAACTGAGCAGATATTTGAGGTTTACACAGCTACATTCTCGCCTGAAAATATGTTAAACGTTTATTTTGTGACCCAGAAAGAATAATAAGAGTAAAGTTAAAACTAACTAGCTGCCGCCATTGTCGACAGCTGCGCTATGAATTCTGGGACACAGCTTCTTCTTCTTCGGGGTTTAACGGCAGCTGGCATCCTTGTACATGCAGTGCTGCCATCTTCTGTTTCAGTCCGTTATTACACTCTTA